TTTTTGCATCTGTGGAAGATATTCCATACTCCAGCGAGCCCAAAATCTTTGCAGCTGCGCCTGCATTAATTGAAATCGACGCAATCGGTTTATAGGAACAGCCGACAAATCTGGTTCCTGTGGCAACATTGGATTCCCTCCAATAAGAAAATGACTTGGAGTAAGGGCTTTAAATTCACCAGGATCATCAGACAACGATGTCCAGCACTGTCCAGAAGAGCTTGTAATTTGTCATAGAAAGTGAAACATTGATCCTCTGTGGAACCGCCACTAATAAGATCGTCTACATAGAAATCTTGCAATGTCATACGTTTGATGGACATATCACTGCACTCTTTGGCAATTTGCACCAAGCATCGGGTTGACAAAAACGAAGCAGATTTAGTCCCATATGTGACAGTCTTTAACCGATATTCCTTTAGGAGTTCATCAGGAGATGAGCGATAGAAAATTCTTTGCAGATCTCTGTCTTCTGAAGCTATCACAACCTGCCTGTACATTTTAGCAATGTCAGCTGTAATGGCCACTTGATGAATACGAAAACGCCAAAGTATTCTAGAAATGTCTGGCTGAACCTTGGGACCTTTGAGTAATATGTCATTTAAGGAATGACCTGATGGAGCAACTGCTGAACCATCAAACACAACTCGCACCTTTGTGGTGGAACTGCCAGCCTTGAAGACAGGGTGATGAGGCAAATAATAAGAGGGTTTGGAAGTAGAAGTTTCCACTGTCTCCATGTGATCAAGTTCAAGATATTCTTCCATGAATGACTTGTATTGTTGAGAAAGGGCACTATCTTTGCTTAATCGCCGTTCTAAATTGAAGAACCGCCGTTTTGCCATTTGTTGAGATCCTTCAAGTAGTTTTGTATCAGCGCAAAGAGGAAGTCTGACCTGGAAACGACCGTTCTCAATGCGTTTGACATTTGTATTGAAATGTTCTTCGGCTCTTATTTCTTCATTCGTCAGTTTAATATTTACTGTGGAGGTAAATAAACTTAATGCTGAATTATTGAATGTGGTGGTAGATAGCATAGTCATTTTTGATTGATCGAGGGGACTTTCAAAACCTTTACCGGTAAGTATCCATCCTAATTTCGTGCGATGTAGACAAATATATTTTGACAACTGTAAGCGTTCACCCAGAAAAATGTCATAGAATAATTCAGCACCAAGAAGAATGTCCACAGGAGCTGGTATATGAAACTGAGGATCAGCTAACTCACTTTTTACATTAAAAGGTATATTCAATTGTGATATATCAAATACTTGAGAAGGCAATTTTTCAGTGATGATTGGCAATGAATAAAATTCTACTTTAAGTTGATAATCGTTACAAAGAGCTGATATAGTACACGGCAATAGACGAACAGTGGATGAGGACATGCTTCCAACACCAGAGATTGATACTGATACATTTGTTTTGGATAATTGTAAACGTTGAGCACATGAAGATGAAATGAAGTTCAACTGCGACCCGGAATCTAAAACAGCCCTGCAGCAATGAGACTTCCCATATGCATCATCCACATATATCAACGCAGTAGCGAGTATGATAGGTGACATAGTAGAAGTCTGCACAGTACTGCCTCTAGCATGTAATACAGTGTTTTGTTCGCTGGTTGATTGTGTTTCATTTTGTTTTGATGTGCAATTTGAGTCATCACTACTGACATCAACATGAAGTTTAGAGTTATGCCTCTTTCCACAACGTGGACAACCGGAGAAATTGCAAGAAGCGACCTGATGTCCATAGTTTAAGCAATTAAAGCATAATTTGAATTTGTTCACAATTACCTTACGCTCAGGAACTGGCATACGAAGGAATTGATCGCAGGCATAGATCCCATGTGGTTCTGCGCACAACACACATTTCATAGAACGAGAACCTGAATTTTTGGTAAAGAAGGCTTTGGCATCATGTGAATTAGATTTATATTGATTTTGCCTTCCTGCAAACTGCCTGGGAGCATGATTGACATACTTCGGAGTCACTGTTGGTCCATCCATTGGTCTTTCAAAATCACCGACCTCATAGGCTGACACTCTATTGGCGAGGAATGTTTCCAGATCTGTAAACTTAGGCAATTCTCGAGTTTGTTGACGCAGCTGCCACTCTCCAGCAGTTACATTATCCATTCTACTACATACTAAAGTAACGAGCCATGCATCCCATTCACCAATAGGTTGGTTTAGTGCTTCTAAAGCCTTAATATGTGATATAACATGATGATGTAAATTTCTGAGTTCCACAGTAGAAGCAACTTTCACCCTTGGCGTGTCCAGTAATGAACGAATGTGTGATTGAATGGTTAATGACTTGTTTTCATATCTTGCGATCAAGGCCTCATATGCCCGTTGGTAATTGTCACCAGTTGTTGTTATATTTTTGATAACTTCTCTAGCCGAGCCTATCAAACATGATTTAAGATAATGAAGTTTCTGCACATTGGCTAATGTCTTATTGTCATGAAACATGGCGTCAAATGAATCCCTAAAAGATGACCAGTTCTGTAAATCTCCATCAAAGGTAGGAGCGGGTACTGCAGGTAAACGCATTGACTCACTCATATTTGTTGTATTGGATTGACTATGTTCTAAAGAATGTCTTGCATCACACTCAGCTACTGACATTAATAATGCCTTTACTTCACAAGCAGCTTCATTAAATTCAATTCGTTCAGACGTATGAAAATCAATATCCCTAGTGTCCATCTCTTCAAGTTGACACTGGATACGATGAAACTCATTTATAATTTCATTAACTTGCTCTAATCGAATATTTATTAGCTGGTATGATTTTGGTTGTTCTGTGTATGCTTGGATGAACTTTAAATGAGCATTCAATTCAAGCTTCAATCCATTTCTGCGACGTCTCAAATTTCTGTACTCTCTTGTTTCTTCAAACTGAGTTTTTTTTTCTTCAGAATTGTTGGGCATAATTGCTGAGGTTCGAACACAAGCTGTATTTTATACAATTAAAAA